TAAAATTTCCCACTTGATAGCAAAAAAAAAAAAAAATCAATCAATAATCTGAATACAGATTTTTAAGACGCTTGTAGCAGTTTTTCCATAATATTAGAAGATTAAGCATGTTTCAAAAAAAAATCACAAAATTTTACAGAACAAAAGATATCCAAAACAAAAAGACCAATAATTATGCTTTTACTACAATATTTCTTACATAACATTAAGGAAACATACCAGAAACTGATAGTAAAGAAAGAAAAAAAAAATGAACAAACAGAAAGGTCCTCCTACTAAGAACTATTAGACAGGATAAACAGCTTTGAATGAGCAATAATGAATGCAGAATTTTCTGTTTACAAGACAAGAATCTAGTTAATCTACCACGAATTTCCCCAGACATGGTCATTTCTAGCCCATCTTTAAAAAAAAGGCAATGTCAGATACCTCCCAAAGTGTAGCTAATACTAGATGCTAATGAAAGGTCAGAAGAAGGAAGCATAAAACAGGAAAGACGGCACTCAAAGGGGAATGGTCTAAGATGGTCCTAAAGCTAGGCTCCCTAAGCTTTGGATTCTGATGGCCAAACATCTGCTTTGTGACCCTGATCAGGTCTACATCCTTGTCATCACTGCACAATACAGAGTAACAGAAGCAGCCTCACAGAGTCTTTCTATATATTTTATTTATTTTTATTTTATGTGTGTTCAAGTATTGCCTGCATGTATGTAAGTGCACCCATAACATGTAATGAACGCCCTCAGAGGTCAAAAGAGGACATCAGATCCCCCAGATCTGGAGTTCTAGGCCATTGTTAGCCACCATGTGGGTGCTGGGAATCGAACCCAGGTCCACTGAAGCAGCCAGTACTCTTAACAGCTGAGCTATCTCTCCAGCCCCATCAGAGTCATAGATTTGATCTGTACATGAGCAAAAGGAAACTACCCAAGACCAGAGGAAGAAACTTTGGAAAGGAGCAGGTTAGGGCAGATTCCAAACAGAACAGAAATTCAGTAACAGTGCATGTTTCTATCAGTCACAGAAAAATGCCTCATAGGTACATGATCACTCAGTAAATCCTAAGAAGGGCATTACCTTAGCAGTTCATTCGATGTGCACCAACAAAAGGTGTTTTTATACAAACTGTAATGAAGTTTGGATCATACTTTGAAGGGAACAAATGATTCCACAGAGCTTTCCTGCACATCGCAACTAAAGTCAACACTTTTTTTTCCGTCTTTTTGAGACAGGATCTCTCTGTAGCCCCAGTTGCCCAAGAACTCACTCTGTCAACCCAGACTAGCCTTGAACTTACAGAGATCCACGTGCCTCTGCCTCCCCTGAGTGCTGGGATTAAAGGTGTGTGCCACCACACAGGGTCAAGCCATTACAATTTAAAAGAATATAACAAATTGTCTTTAATCCCAGCACTCAGTAGGCAGAGGCAGGAGGATCTCTATGAGATCAAGATAAGTCTGGTCTCCACAGCAAGTTCCAAGCCAGTTGTGGCTACAGGAAGACCCTGTGTCAAAAAGGAAAAAATTAAAAGAAGAATACAACAAAACCTAACAACTAAATATAAAATTCATAATGTTCAAGATCCAATTAAAATTCACTCAGGATACAAAAATGGGAAAATATCAATCACCAATCATGACAAAAATTAATCTACAGAAAAAGACTCAAATGACAGAAGCAACAAAAGCAAGTCAGCATAACTGTAATACCTACATCCCACATATCCAAGAAGGTGGAAGGAGATCTAAGACAAAACACAGTAGCTCAAACTCCTGAACATCTAGACCAAAATAGGAAGAATCTTTGCAATATTATGGTAGGCAAAGATGTCTTAAATGGGTCACTAGAAAGCCCGAACATTCAATTGAAAAATATAGATGAAAGAGACCTTATCAAAGCCAAACATTTACTCCATGAAAGGCACTAAAACAAGAAAGCAAGATACAGACCATGAAAAAATAAGTACTGGGGCTGGAGAGATGGCTCAGCAGTCAAGAGCATGGACTGCTCTTGCAGAGGACCCGGGTTCAAGTCCCAGCACACACATGGCGGCTACAAACCATCCTTAATTACAGCTCTAGGAGAATCCGAAGCCCTCTTCTGACATCCACAGCATTGCACAACACAGGTGTACTCACATACATGCAGGCAATATACTTGTACACATAAAATAAATATAATAAAATATTTTTTAAAATAAAAGAAAAAATAAGTACTAGTAAATAGCAATTTAGCTGAAAAGGGCTTATTAAAGAACTTTTTAGAAGTATTTTGCTGAATTTCTGTGCATTTCATACAATACATCATAATCATATTTAGACCCCCCTCCCCTAGCTGCACCCCAGGCCCCCCCAAATGGATTTCATGACATAAAGAACTTTTTTATGCCTTAAAAGACCAAAAATAATTTTTAACAGGCTAAGAATTTAAAGAGATAATTTAGAAAAGATGAGATATGACTGACTACATCAGTGGAAATGAAATCAAATGTCCATATGAGTACTTGTACACTAATACAGCAGCATTATCTATAACAGCCAAAAAGTAGAAATATCCCAAATGTCCACTAATGTGTGAATATACAAAATGCAGCATACCCACACAATAGAATATCATTCGGCCAGAACCATAAACTGCTAGAATGCACAATACAGATGAACCCTGAAAACATGCTAAATGGACATAGCTACATCAGTATGAATCCACTGGGATTCTATGCAGTCTGAAACAATGATCTCCTATAATTTCATTTAACATATGATTCTACTTATATGAAATGTTCGGATTAGGCATATCCACAGAGACAGAAAGAAGGGGGAATGGGGAATGACTGTCTATCATCATATGGTTTCTTTTGGAGGAAAATACTATGGAATTAAATAGTGGTGATAAATTCATAATTCTCCAAATACTCTAAAAACCACTGAATTGTATACTTTAAAAGTGACAAATTTATGGATGTTAATTATACCTCAAAACTCCCTTTTATAAAAATGACTGAGGAAAGCCTTTTTGTATAAAAATGACTGAATTTAAAGTAAAAATAACCATGCACTTGGGGGATTTTAGTGTATTTAGAGGTTAAATATGATAACATGGGAACAGAAGGGAGGTGGGGCAAATGGAAGGTCACTGCTCTAAGATTTTCATAGCATATTTCTAGTGACATTAATATTTGAAAAGGATGTGGTAACAAAGATTTCATACTCTACAGCAGACACAAAATAAAGGAACAAAAGAGATACAGCTTTATAAATGCTCTAATATTGGCTATAAGCAAAGAAAGTTCCTTAAACCCTAATTTCTACCTCTTATACTCCACTAACCTCTATCCAATTAAAGTAAGTGTCCCGATGGCACCAAATCTTTGAAAGTAGGCTTCAGTGGAGAATACTCCTGCCAGATACCCCAGACTCAGAATGAAGGCTGGGCACAGTCCCTGATGTTGATGACTGCTCCCCAGGCCAATGCATGCCACAGGTGCTCTCCTGCCTAGCAAGTTACCACTATTTCCCACTGAGTCCTAACAGCTGGCTTCAAGTCCCAGCCCTGACACTGAGTGAACTCTGCTGGTTTAATAAAGCATATTCTGCCTCAGTTTCAACTTTAAAAATCTACCTTAGAATTAGGCACAATGCTATCTTAAAGTCACTGCACCAATGCCAAGTTAATTCTATTTCTAGTTTTGATAAAAAGGTGGTGTACAAGTGCCCTTCATACAACCACACTTCATTGCAAGAAGAACTACTATTCACACTGGTTAAGTGTCCTAATCAAGCACATGTTCTAGACAAACAGATTAAAGCAGAAGGAACACAACTTAGATCAGTATTGAGAAATCACATTTCCTCTTTTCCTCTGGTTGACTTTGCTGGCAAGGGTGTATTAGATATTTAATATCATCAAAAAAGCAAAAACATGTATGAGCAAAAACTAGCCATAAAATGAATGGAAAATCAAAACCACAAAATAAGTACCCCCGAGAACACACCCCACTCTCTCCCTCACATGGCCTCTCACAAGATGCAATCATGACCATGGCCTTCTGGCTCAGAATGCTCCTGTTATGTGGCCACCCTTGTGTTGCCATTTCCCATCAAAATAGTAAACAGATGCCAGCAGTAACATGTTTTTTAAAAAATATTTTATCATTTCTATTTTACGTGTATGCATGTATTCCCTGAATGTGTGTTAAATGCACCCTTGTCGTGCAATACCATCAGAGGTCAGAAAAGCGTGTTGGATTCCCTTGGAACTGAAGTTACAAATGGCTGGTGGCCGCCATGTGGGTGCTAGGATTCGAACCCATGTCCTCTGCAAAAGCAAACAGTGCTCTTAACCACTGAGTCATCTCTTCAGTAATATGATTTAAAGTTTATGGGTCAGGGAGAAAAACAAAAGAACATGAAGCTTTTGAGAAAATTCTATCAATTTACCAGCTTGTCTAGATACAGATGAGGGGGATGACTTCAGTAGTGGACTGCTGCATCAGTCCAGCTTCTGTTTTAGTAGGTGGGGATACATTCATTTACTACACACAGGACTGAGAGCTGAGTACATGTCATGAGTAGCCTAAAAAATCTTCAGAAATACCTCTGGACATTGTCCTAGACATGGCAAAAAGCCCCAAATTCTTGAAATTTGGGCATATTTGACTAGGTCAGTCTCACTAGACATACACTATCTTAAAAGTAAGTAAGGCCCCAGGGCAAAAACCTACATTCAACTGGCCTTTAGGACCTCATTAAAGCTCAACAAGTTACAGTCACTCACCCAGGTCAGTCAACTTCAATGTTGTTTTTCATATTTACACCAAAAATCTAAAGATAAAGTAACAGATACTTTTTATTGTATTTCACATATTTTTAAGATTGTGGATATTTTATCATAACAAAAAGCAAGGGGTATTTAAATATATTATGTTGAATTCTTAAATAACTGAAATTGTGTGGTCCATTTGCAACAAAAGGAATCATAAAAATTAATATGTCAAATAGTACCTCAATATTTTTACTGGCCACGTTCTTCACAACCGCAGGAAAGAGTTCAGAAGCATTTTTCCCCTTTGCAATCATCTGAAGAATAAAAGAGGATTATCAGGGCAGAAACTTCAAAATTAGTTATCTTAAAACCAAATACATATTCAGAAAAGTTCTACATCATTAAATCTTCGTAAGATTTTGTCACAAAGTAAAGCCAAGCAATTAACAGCTGAACTTTTTTTCCAGGCATCACAATCATTCCAACGAGGCAAAGAAAGAATAAACACTTTCTTGTGTTTCAGCATAGGTACACAAATACATAAACAAATTAAGGAAGGAGACCCAGGGGGGCTGGAGAAATGGCTCAGCAATTAAGAGCACTGACTGCTCTTGCAGAGGACCTAGGTTCATTTCCCAGCACCCACATAGTGGCTACGAACCATCGTTAAAACTCCAGTTCCAGGGGAATCTGAAGCCCTCATCTAACCTCCACAGCACTGCATGACACAGGTGCAGTCACATACATGCAGGCAATAAACTCATACACATAGAATAAAAATGAAACAATTTTTTTTTTGGTGTTTTTGAGACAGAGCCTCCCTGTAGCCCTAGCTGACTGGGAACTAACTATGTAGACCAGGCTGGCCTTGAACTCACAGAGATCCGCCTGCCTCTGCCTCCTGAGTGCTGGGATTAAAGGCGTGCACCACCACGCCTGGCTAACATAAAATATTTTTTAAAAAGAGAAAAGAGAGCCAAACATGATGATGCAAACCTGTAATCCCAGCAACTGGGGGGTAGGGACAAGAAGATCAGGAGTTCAGGGACAGCCTAGACTATATGCGACCCTGTCTCATTAAAATAAAATAAAAAATACACATAGTAAATTCAGGTATATATTATTATTTTTATTTGATTTTCATTCTTTGACATTTGGTGGCCTCAGCCCAAATCAATGTTAAACAAACAGCTCATTCATTCACCTTCTTTAAATCCTCTGTATTCAAGAGGAATATGGGTATGATTTAATCCTTATAATGCTTTCATCTAGTTTTCATACAAGATAATATACTCAAATACACTGAATTCAGAATAGCTTCCTCAAATTTTCTAGAAGACTTTGTATAGCACTGGACATTTTTATGTTGGAAGGATTTTAATGAGAAATTAAATTACTTTCAGAAATACAGAACTACTGAAGTAATCTAGATTTTTTTAAATTATTTATTTAATAACCACTTTAGAAGAAGCATTTCATTATAATAGCATTGGCATATTCAATAACAATTTCCAAAGCTAAGATGCATCTGTTTCAAAACTGGCTGTAAATTTTTAGGTTTACAGTTCAATTAATACAGTAACACAATACTGTATGCAGTATAAACCCTTTAAGACATAAAATTAACTGACATTTTAACCTTTAAAAAAGATCTCCATTTCATTATTAAAATACAGTGTCAAACAGAAAAATTCATTTTTAATGCAACTGACATTAAGATGTTTGCACATGCCTTTCTAATCACTATATATCTGATTATTATTAATCACAGTCGGTTACTTTCTGAGCTCCCGCGCATCTGAGCATGGATATAAAGTAATCCGGTAGATTACAATGGTAATGCTTCTCACATCTATTAATTATTCAGGAGCAAAATGTAGGCTTTGAAGAATTATTTTTTAATTTTTTTTTAAATTTAATAACCACATGATTAGAAGAACCATTTCATTACACCTTTAACATATTCACTAACACACTCCAGAGTAAGGATACATCTCTTTCAAAAGTTGCTGTAAATTTTTAGATTCACAGGTGAATTAATACAGTTATACAATATTGAACTCAGTATAAAGCCTGTAAGATATAAAATTGAATGAGTTTTAACCCTGTAAAGAAGATCTCCATTTCAAGATATGCTGTTTTCTAAACTTTTTAATATTTTTTTTAAGAAGAAGCATATCATTACAGCTTTAACATGCCCAATAAGTTTCCAGAGCAAAGACAAAGCTCCTTCAAAAATGGGTATAAAATTTCTAGGTTTGCTGTTGAATCAATACAGTAATAAAATACTGAACTCAGTATAAGCCCAGTAAGACATAAAATTGAGTATTTAATCCTCAAAAAAGATCTCCATCTCATTCTAAAATATACTGTTTCTTACAGAAAGACTCATTATTTTTTCTATTAACACTGAGATGTAGGCACATGTGACACTAATCTATATCTCATTATTACTAGGCATGATAGTTTGCGCTCAGATCCTTGGTGCCTCTGCATGTCTCTAAAGTCATGGGGTAGATTTCAGTGGTAATCTTCATCACCTCTACTAATTAAAATGACATAAACTTTTAAGCTTCCTCCTCAAATATAATACATTTTTTTAATTTGATGTTTTTCTGTGTGTGTATATGACACAGAACATCCCAAACCATCTTATTCAACTATGCACCCACTTCCCAGATGGCTCCCTCCCATAACCTCCCTCCCCCTACTAGAGCCCTTATACTGTTATGCCTGCTACTGTCCACTGTGTTGTTGACATGCCTAGCCGTTCCCCACTACTTGTCCATCTGGTGAATCTAGTCAGCCTACCTAGAGGTCTTTGTTTTATTTAGGTCAGCTGTCAATATTCCTTTAGATAAGACCGGGGTCTGCTGTTTATTTTCCCATTTCTATGCTGGGTTACTATCTGGGAGTTCCTTGAGCCACCCAGGCCGAAAACTCAAAAGAAGGTATCTTCTATCTAGCATTGTTGCTTGTTATGTATGTACGCTTTAGCTATACATATGGACTCTTAAAAAACAATACTGGCCTCTTTAAACTTTAGTAATACTTTCCTTTTGGGTGTTTAAGGTCATACACTTGGCCCAGATAAACCAATTTATTTTTACTCTTAAGGTCATTGGAGGATCTGTTCCTCGGGAGTCACATGGGTTTAGGAGGAGCCCCAGGGTCCTTTCTTTTACCAGTTCCGCCTAGGTGAAGTCAAAGGTCCTGCTTGACCATGACTGGCTTCGCTTAGAAGCATGGAGGAAATGTTTCCTCTTTGTTGACCCTCTTTGTAGAATGGACACTGGTTCATGTCCATCTGATGTGGTCTCCTCAGCCTCCTTGATCAATACGACAGGTCACTCACCACAATTACAAGACATTTTGGGAGATGCCCATAGTCCCCTAGAACTAGTTGACCTAGGAGGGCAAGGAGCAAAAACTGTCCTGTATATCCCTCTGACCAAATTAGTATAGGCTAAGTATGTCTGTTAAACATTCAAGAAGGTTAGTTCCACTAGTCTGGTACTTTTAATAACTGTGTGCCATGTAGATGAATCTTGGGCAAAGACCAATTGTGTCTGAGATCTGATATGTATAATTAGTCAGTAGGTTCTTGGACTAATATAGTTCCCTCTGGTTTTTAAAACTAGCTAGGTATTATTTATCTCTCGCATTGTCTCACCCCTCCATGATGGTTTTCCCAATTAAGGTGACCCCATTTTCCCCCTTATTCCACTAATAATGTCCTTCTCCTATGGTCCTACCTCTCTTGAGAGCCTTCTTTCCCATTATCCCCGAGGTGCCTTTGCTACCCTTCCCTCCCCTCTCCCTTAAACTACCCCAATTTTTATCCATATCTCCCTTATTAAAGCCTGTTTCCTACAGTTCTTTCAGATTCTTTCTTTTCCTTTACCTCCCCGGTTCCTCTCCATTATCCTGGTTCCTGTAGTTATGTCTGGATACATAGTTATCAGGATTTCGTTCAAGGGTCCATATATGAGGGAGAACATACGTCAATTTTTTACTGAGTCTGTGTTACTTCATTTTGTATAACAGTTTCTAGTTCCATCCATTTCCTGCAAATTTCATGATTTCATCTTTCTTTACTGCTGAGTAAAACTCCATCATATAAATGAACCACATTTTCATTATCCACTCATCAATTGAGGGACACTTAGGTGGCTTCCATTTCTTAGCTATTGTGAAAAGAGCAGCAACAAACATGGCTGTACAAGTGTCTCTGCGATAGGATGAGTTCTTTGGGTATATGCCAAGGAGTGGTATAACTGGGTCAAATGGTAGGTTCATTTGTACTTTTTTAAGAGTTCCCCATACTACTTTCCATAGGGGTTGAAGAAGTTTGCAGCCCCACCAGCCCCTCTCCAACATTTGATATTTTTTCTCCTGATCTTAGTCAGTATGACTGGGGTAAGATGAAATCCTAAAATGGTTTTAATTTGCATTTCGATAATTATTAGTGATATGGAACACCTTTTAAGATGCTTCTTAGCCATTTTTACTTCTTCTTTTGAGAACTCTCTGTTCAGCTCCTTAACCCACCTTTTAATTGGGTTACTTCTTGTCTTGATTCTCTAATTTTTGAGTTTGTTATGTATTCTGGATATTAAACCTCTGTCAGATGTGTCACTGCTGAAGATTTTCTCCCATTCTGTGGGAATTCTCTTCACTTCCCTGGTTGCTTCCTTTGATGAACAAAACCTTTGTAATGAGGTACCATTTGTTAATTCTTGCCCTTGTTTCCTGAGCAATTGATGTCCAGTGTAGAAAATACTTTCCTACAGCTATATCTTGTAAGTTTTTAACAACGTTTTCTTCTAACAGTTTCAGAGTTTCAGGCTTTACATTGAGGTCTTTAATCCATTAGGAATTGAAATTGACTACTGTACAAGGTGAAAGATAGGGGTTTAGTTTCATTCTTCTACAGGTCGAGATCCAGTTTTGCCAGCACCATTTGCTGAACATGCTGTCTTTCCTCCAGTGAATGTTCTTGGACCCTTTGTCAAATATCGGCGGGCTGAAATTGCGTTTATTTATATTTGGGTCTTCAATTTTGTTCCATTGATCTATGGGTCTATTTTTGTGCCAGTACCATGTTGTTTTTATGACTATGGCTCTGCAATACAGCTTAAAATCTGGTATAGTAATCCCCCTGGTATTTCTCTTAGTGTTCAGGGTGGTTGCTTTGGCTACCTGAAATCTTTTGTGCTTCCATATGAATCTTAGGATGGTTGTGTCCAATTCTGTGAAAAATGTCATGGGGATCTGA